TGTCACCAGTTCAAGGAGCAATAAGATAAAGATGTTCAGTTGTTATTATTCCATGATTTGCTGACTGTCATCCTTTCTTTTGGGGATTAGAATGTTTTTACCTAAATGTAACAAAGGTTGTAATAGTTGACAGTTTTTGAGATGTCTTTACTAGGATAAATAAAATGAGGGATTTCCCTATTTTTTTCTAGCTTTAACTTTTTTTTTCCTAATAGCTTTATTTACTGCTCTGTCATATCTAACATTCTGGGAAACCACTGCCGTAAGCCATAATAAGTCACTGGAGATTTTAAAATCAGGAATAACATGAACACAGAAGTAATTTGGGAAAATTAATTGTGCTTTAGTGGGTAGTATCCAACTGCAGTAGTAAGAAAAGGAAGTCAGGAAATTTGCTTAGAAAAAAATCACAACACCGCCCACATGGAGTGGGAGGATGATCAAACAGGGAGGCAGCAAAGCTGCAGCAAAGAGGAGGCCAAGGAGAGTCATGAGAAAAGATGGTCTGATGCTCCAAACCAAGATGCCCAAAGGGATAATGATTCACACGTAAGCCAAGGAAAATCTGGGAAAATTAGCAAAAAAAAAAAAAAATTGATGAACTTGGCCATAGTTATATTTGGTTTGAGGACATGGTAGGTACATAAGCAGAACGCCAACAGTGTCTGTAAGGAGATCAAGGTTATCCTATAGGGATAAACACATAAATTAGTAGAAGCACATTAGGAAAAAATGGAAAAACATGGAGGACCAAGAGCTGAAGGTAGCAAGTCTTTGAATAAAGGGAAGGAAGCAAAGAGGGTAAAGAAGACAAGAGCCATCCAAGAAAGAAGAGAGACTGAAAAAGAAAAAAAGAAATCATTTGATACGAGAAAGATAATGTTAAAGAACTTCCATCCTTCCTTCCTTTTCCCTCCTTCCTTCTTTCCATTTAACCATACAGCCATCTATCCATGCACCCTTCCGTTCTTCATCTATCCAACTACTGCTTTGAAAACTTCCTGTGTTCCAGGTTCTGAGCTTAGCTCTTCAGTCTAGATATGGAGAAAGCGGAAAGAACTAAAGAAAACAATGGCAATCTAAGATAAGATGGAGTGCAAGATGTGAGATGTGCCCTGCTCTCTTCAGTTCAGGGTCTCCTAGTGGTCTCCTTTCTTTACTGTCCTATTTTGCTTAACAATCTCTCGCCCCACATAGGAGGGCTGAGCTGAAATCACTAAAATATGGGTAGAAATACTAGCTATCAATCTTATTCCTAGTGGTCTCCTTTCTTTACTGTCCTATTTTGCTTAACAATCTCTCGCCCCACATAGGAGGACTGATTAGAGTGCTGAGCTGAAATCACTAAAATATGGGTAGAAATACTAGCTATCAATCTTCCCTGTTCAGAGTGCAGGGCAGGTTTCCACTGCAGCCTGTGTGACAGGTGGAATAGATTTAAACAAAGGCCATTACGATTCACATAGAGGAGGAAGGCTCACTTTGGGAGCCTTGCCATGGATCTCTGATGGCTTGAATCCAATCAGGGACAACAGTTACTCTGCATCTTGGCAAGGACTTTTTACGGTTCTTTAGAGTGGAAAATGCTGTGCTTGCTTTGGCAACACATATACTAAAATTAGATTGGAAATGTTTAATGGGAGATATGGAAATTTCAAGTTGAAGTAAATGCATTATTCTTTAATGCATTATTTGAATGGAAGGGTATCCCATAACTAGCGCTATTTGGGGGCTTTTCTTTTAATAAATTTTCCAATCCAGAACCAAAATTTAGAAACAAAAGTAGAAAGAGAAATATATACATATATGAATACCAAATATACACAAACATATCCATCTATACACATGTACATTTGAAAATTTAATAAAGCACACAAAGTGAAAAAATAATTACAAATATAGTAAGCTATGGTAAGACTGGAGTCATGGTAATGTTATATAGAGAAAAACAGGAGGAGCCTTCATTAGACTCAATCTCCTCATTTTCTAGGCCAGAGTGATGGCCTTATTAAATCCTTTAAATTCTCCCATTTTTTTTGGTAGTTCTCCCATGTTTTAAGTGATTTCTTCAATTAAGTTATGAACAATAGCAAGACATTGTTTCCCTTAGGATATTAAGTATTAGATTTAATTATTTCATTTATATTTCTTGCATGTGCCTAATGCTTCTGAGAAATAAAAACTTTTAATTAGTCAAATAAAACATAATAAATAAAAGACTTCCTCAGATTAATCTATATTAAAATTTGGCTTTTAAACACATCCTCTTTTTATGAAGAGTAACGTTTTTTTAAAAGGTGGTTATTTTTCAAAGTATAAAATTAATGTAAATTATACTGAATGACTGTTGTAAAATCTGCCTTATTCCAAGCTATAGGCCAAACTTCTGTCTGTATCCCTGACTCTTTCTGTTCCCTTATGGCTGCTCTGCCAAAGGCACTTAGTGGCATTGTGTAGTATACACAGAACCAACCAAAGTTGTGCATCTGCAGAACAGTCCAAGCTATATGTCCTAGTCATGGGTCATGCGCAAGAAAACAGCCCTAGACTGAGTTACAGCATATCCTAAGGGAATTGTGCTAGATGCTCTCTCTTCCTGTCTCCCAAGGGCCTTAGGTTGTTTCTGCAGAAGTGAAAACATATTGTCCCACTGTACTTGTGAGTTAGGTTGCCAGGATCTTTTTACAACTTATGGATTAAGGCAACTAATTTTGCTGCCATGTTTTAAAGAAGAGATATTAATTATTCTTTTTATCAGTATAGGAGTATAGGTTTGGATTCACACAGGGCAAGTACACCAACTCTAGCCTCAGGTTGAATGGGGACATACTCCTCCTCACTTGAGAAAGGAAGAACTCTTCCATGCAAGAACAGTGGAAGGGGAGGAAGCAGGTGTAAGTTCTGCCCTCAGTCCTGGGTCTGCCTTGGCTTCACAATGGTCATTTATAGAATGAAACCATGATCTGAACATCAGATCAGTTGAGTGAGTGAAAATCTTTAAGGCTTCATGTAGAGTACAGTATGAATATTGTATCATGCATGCATAAGAATAATATCTACAACATTTGAAGAAGATAAAACCACACCAGTTGATTCATGGGCTAAGGAAAGACAGAGAGAAGCAAAGATAGTTATGATAGCATATGATAAACATGGTACACAGGACACTCTGACAGGAGGTAAGGAGGTCCTCTTGTGCAATAGGAAGGCAGAAAGTGCCCTAAAAAGGCTTTCTGAATGAGATTATGTTCAAAGTACACAGAGATCATCAGAGTGGGTCAAGTAGCTAGGGAGCATTTATTTTAGGAAGCAGAGAGGGCAAGGGAATAAAGGACTTCACATGTCCTGCTTAGCTTTTTGATTTTCATCTTAAAGGTGATGGACATTCAGTAAAGAATTGTGAACATCAGAGTGATGTGATCGTTTGTGTTTTAGAAAGATCACCCTGTCTGACCACTGAGGTGCTGAAAGGAAGTCGGGAGGGTAAGAGGTGTTTAAAGATCATTACAGCAATCCAGGAAAGAATAATGAAGACTGGACCTAAAGCAGTAATAGTGTGAGTGGAGAGTTGAAAAATGTTTAAGAATTGGGACATGATTTATTGGATATCGGGAGAAGAAGAAGAAGAAACCATCCAATAAGAATCTTTTTAAAAATGAGTGAGAAAGATACCTTTTCCACTTAGTAGGATACATCTCTTTATAGCCTTATCTCCAGCACCACTGCCATTCTCCTTACTTGCAGTAAAAGAGACTTGTCCTGTGGTAAGCAATTGTGTCACAGGTCGCAGGCTTCATAAAAGCTCTCCTCTTCATTCTTTTAATTTCAAACCTAGAAAATTTTCTCCTGCAGACTAATTTGTATGTTTATCCACTTTTACTGGGTGTATATCTTCTCTCTTCCATGAATCAATGAACAGAATTCTTATAGTTAAGACAAAACATTTTACACTGCCTTAATTTTATAGTCCATTAAACCTCATTTACTGCTTTTTCTTTGTTCTTTTGGGAATCATTGAATAAACTTTATTAATTTTTCTATATAAAATACATTATTGGAATACATTTCTTAAGTTATGGGCTTTGAGATTTTTGGTCATATTTTGCAGTTTGTTTTTATGCTGATCCATTGATTGCTTTATAACAGGCATCCCTGTGGCCTACCGTTGCTGCTTGATACACACTGACTAGCTACAGTATAGGGTAGGATTGTCTGGTTCATAGGGAGATATGTGTCCTAAGACTTTGCCTTCATTGCTTTTGCCAAATCTGGTCACTTAATGCCTCCTACAAAACAAAATAAAATTCCCTGTTTTAAAAGAGCAAACAATGAAAACATTTGAAATATTATAACAATACATTCAATGTGAAAAGTGTAGTTTCATTCTATGATTGGCACTTGTTTCTAATATGCTCAGCATGTCATTTTTCACAAAACAACCAGTCACTGTACTCAAACATGCTTGATGTGCATATATAATGTGGGCATTAGCTAACAATATGATAGTTTCATACAGTTCAGCATTCGGCTCTGGAAAGACGATAACAAAAATGAATGCATAACACTGGGAACTAGCACTGTGGGTCACTGCTAGCCCTACCATCTGTCTCCATAAGAGGAGAATGGTTTCCTAGACATATCCAGACAAAGAATATCACCATATGTCCATTTGTCACAAAGCACCACAATCGGGCTCAGTGTTAGCAATACTATTACACAGATCACTTAGGCAGTATGCAGGGAAAAGTAGCTAATTATATAATCAATCACTCCTAAAGTGCAACTTCTAAAGAGTACAATTGTGCTCTACCTGTTATCTATGAGACTCTTTATAGATTTAGTCATTATATTAAAAAAAACTGTACTTTGAGAATTATCAAAGTTTAAATAGCCAAACAAGTAAGCAAAAGTCTTCTGAGTCTGTGAAATCTATATGTATGGTCACACAGAATGACTTTATACTGGACAAAACTCATATGCTCACTAGAATAGGTTTAGGGAAACTCAGGGAATGCTCAACAATTTATGTGTATGCCATCCTGGGCTGGGGCCATGCTCATCTTCTCTGTCTCATCCCCATTTTCGTATATGTGTTGCCAAAGCGAGCACCAGTGCTTAACAATGAGGAAGAAAGTTAAAGTAAATTTCATACTACATTTTAAGGATTTACAATGTGCTAATGTGCTTTCAAATTATTTTATTTAATTTATTATTGTAATATCATATACCAAAACATGCATTGATTTTAATACTGTAAACAATGGCTTAGTAGAAAATACCTACTTCTTTTTTAAAGTACATTTATAATTCCTTCAGTATTTCTGAAATCATATGTAAATGTTATTATTTGAAACAAATGTTTCTGTAGAATAAGAAATAGATGATATAATCCAGCATTTTCCAAAATGTTTACCATTTAATAATAGATGTTCAAGATATTCTGTAAAAAATTAGGAAGAATTACAGTTAAATAAGTTTATGAAGTTTTATGTCTCAGTGAATCTTAATGTACTTGAGAAATAAAATTTGTCAATTTTTTAATCTAGTCATCTCATTCTTTGTATCCTCCAATAGTGAAAATTAAATTCTTATAAAACTAATGTTCTATGTATGACACTCTGACCCATGTATTTTTAAAAGACTTTATAGCCCAAATAAATTGTGGAGAGACAAGACTAAAAGAAAATGACAAAATTGAGAGTGCAGTAAGTTCTATGATAAAATTGAGTCTACCCTATAGACTACAGGGGAGAAAAATATTTAATTTTTATCTCAATTTTTCATATTGAGGGTATTAAGAAGGTAAGTTTCTTTTCATGACACAATTATAGTTTTTTTTAATGTTCTGTTTTGGTAATTTTCCATAGCTTAAATTCTTTTAGAGTTCTCTCTTTCTGATTAATTTCCTTCTCTGCTGGAAATAATGTATTTTTCACAAAATGTAAAGAGTAGCTTGGAGAAGAATTGAGTAGCTTGACCTTATCATGTCCAAAACTCAACTACTCTTGGACCCAGTAATCTGTTGCTTTTCAATGAAAGGTAATGCTATCTGGCCAAGTGCCATTAAATAATGTAGACTTCACTCTAAACATCTTTCTCTTATCTATATAATATATCAACTAACAACTCTATCAGTTGTTTAAAGATGTCATGAGTGGAGGTCAACAACCATATTTTTCATTCTAACTATTCCAAAGAATTTGAAGGAGTATCTGCTGCTTTCTGGAAATGAAGACTTTTAGATTCAATGTAGAAAAATAGTCACTAAATTTAAAATTTTTTTTTTTTTTTGAACTGGGGATCTAATTCGGGAGCTTGCACTTGCAAGGCAGGCAGCAGCACCACTGAGCTACATCCCTGGCACATTAACTTTACAGTTTTGATACAATCTTATATTGTACAACATTCTTAAAGTGCCACATGTTTTGACTCACATTTGGAACATAATCTGGAAGAAACTACAATGTCTCATTCTTATTTTATAAATTTCTACCATGCCTAATATATTAAAATAGCATTTTAAATGTGTTTTCGGTAGTGAATTAATAATAATAATAAAACAAAATCAGAGTACAAGAGAAATCCTCCATAGGTGACTTCTCAGGTATCTGTAGATTTGGGAAAGTGTACAGTTTAGAAAACTAAGAAATATTACCTTAGTCATTTAGCCAACCTCATATGCTAGCTGTTACTGTTAACTCTTGGTAAAACAAAAGACACAACATGGAAGTCATACACACAGTGGAGACTTCCTGTTCTGCCTGTTCCTCCCTACCTGCGGTCATAGCACCAGTTTTTCCTTGAAAACCTAAATATCCCTCCCCTTTTCATTGTCTCATTCTCAGTCTAGTGTTCTGACCTCACCTAGGCAAGAGAGGGACATGAGATACAAGTTCAGCCAATCAGATATTGTTTTCTAGGAATTTGAATACTAAATGGAAGTGATTCAATCTCATGATGTTGCCTAAAGACAACCTGTATCTACTGTGACCCCTAAGCCTGCCTGGTTCCTACCCTTTCTGGGCTATAAATGAACTCAGAATCCCTCCTTTCCATGTATCCCCTCTTTTAATGCCCTTGGAGAAACAAACTTCTTTAGTATAAATAGGTAGCAAAGGTTTTATTCACACATTGAATAAGATGTGCCAGGGGCCTTGTACTGTAAATAAGACAAAAGTGTGCCTTGGTGAAACTTTCATTTTGAGGACCTAAATAAATAAATGTATAAAAGATATATAGATTGCTGTTAATGTTTAACACAGTTCTTTGACAAAAAGTACTATTAATTTATTTTAAATTCAGTGATCGCGGAAGCCTAAAGTGGACAACTGTCCTCACTAAAGAGACTTTTCTCTGACATGTCAAGGCAGAATGTCAACAGCTTCTATGAATAAAGTATTCATACAACATTTTTTCAACCTGTGGGGTGTAACTTATTCATGGGCTGCAAATAAATTTAATGAGTTGTAGTCAGTCTTTATAAAGGAGAAATGGAATAGGGTAGAATTGAGTAGACTAGAAAATATCAGCAGGCAGTATGCAGTAAATTAATTAAAGGTAATTAAACTCTTGTTTCTATGGGCCATAGTTTAAAGAAGTTTAAAAAGCATTATCTAGAGGGCAGGGGATATAGCTGAGTGGTGTTGCCCCCTGCCTTGCAAGTGCAAGGTCCTGAGTTCAACTTCTGGTACTGCAAAAAAAAAAAAAAGAAGAAGAAGAAGAAGAAAGCACATAATCTAGAAAAAAATTCTCAGAAGATAATTATTATCCATGTTATAGTGAATAGTTGCAGGACAAAGGCAAGGATCAGCAATTAGAGAAAAGGATTCACTAGGTTGGCAGGTTCCTGAAGTAGTCAAGAAACACTCTAGAATAAGAAAAAAATCAAGGTCCAAGGACTCTGTCTTCTGGTACTGGTTCTGTGTTGTGAAAAGAATGTACTAATTCTACATTCAACAAATTCAGAGAAGAAAATCTATTCTATCATAACCCATGTCTGGCAAGAGAGACTCCTATTTCATCACGGAGCTGATCCAAACACCAACTGACAGAGGAGAACCCATTCCTCTAAGATATTCTGACAAAAGGTCTGCAGAATGCTGGCTAGAAGGTGAGTTCATACAAAACCAGACACTAGAGAACCCTGGACAGCTTGTCCTTGCCTATTCACTGCACTGGGGAGGCTGGTAAGATGGTGAACCTTGGAGGAAAAAGAGCTATCTGAAATCAGCCAAAGAATGGGAGAAAAAAAAAAGATTGTCTAAGGAAACAGAAAACCTACTGATGCCCACCATGGCTTTGACCATGAAGAGCATCAAAGCAATAAACCAAGAATACTGTGGTTCAGAGTCTACTGTGCACTGTTTGCCAGGAAAAGGGAAGGGCTGCCAAGAAGAGACAGGCCTGGTAGGACCTTAAAAGGTTAAAGAAATCAAGAGTCCCCTTGACTATCTTAGCGCCAAAGACAGCCATTACTGTTATCTTATCCTTCTGCATTTCACCACACTTGTATAGAGATTAGGTTGACCTAATTCATCTGCAACATCGGCTCATAAAACACACTGTATACTTATCTGTTATAACTTTTGTGGTTTCATTCATAGGTTGAAAGGCAAGGGAAGTATAAAGGAGCACCGAAGACTCTCTAGAGGGACTGCTTCATCCAACAGAGTTGATCTCCATGCTAGCTCATCAACCTTGCAAATCCCACTGCTCAAAGGCCAACTCTCAAAATCTAACACTGGCTCATGATGATACCAAAACTTCAAAGCCAGTGAAAGGTTAAAAGGAATAATAGATTCCCTGTAGCAGAGGTGAGAATTGGGCATGGATGATTCCTGTAGGTAGAGACAGGTTTTCTCACATTGGACCATGAATAATATATCAACCACTGATGTAGAGCTTACTTGACACAAAACACTGTATTAAGTACTTGACATTTAATCCTTATGATAATCCTGTAAATTAATAACCTAATTTAAAAGGTTATAATTAAAGATTAAAATTGTGATTGACTAGCTCAAGATCACCTAGTCAGAAAATGAAAAACTAAAACCATATACTGGGAATAGAGAATGCCTGAAAAAAAATATATGACAGGATCTAGAAGGAGGTAAGAGCTCAACCAAATTCACTGGGTCTAAAATGGATGTTCAGTGGGAAGGGCCTACTATGGTGACTTAGGGGTGCAGGGGACCCATCCAGTCATGCTGGGGCCTTCTCTACTTTCCTGGAAGCTGGGTTTAATGATATTGGCTCAGGCACTGATTGGTACATGACACTAGCTGGTAAGAAGCAACCAGACATTTCTATCCTTCAAAGCATTTAAGAATTAAAAATTAAGAAATTTAAATATTTTTGCCCACTTTCATTACATTGCAAAATTTTTATAAAAGTGTTAAATGTTCAAGAAAATGTACTTGTTTCCTTTCCCTTGTGGAATGTAACAATATTTTCAGAGTATTAACATTTGCTATATTTAATCAATTGTTTACTTTCTTCGTTTGATTATACAATCCAAGATTTGAGATTTGTACCTTCTAAGTGTTATTAAACATTTTTAAAATACAGTATTTATTTATTTATTTAACCTTAATGGACAAATAATAATTGTGTATATATTTATGAGGTACACTATGATGTGTTTACATATATGTATCCATTGTAGAAAGGTTCTGACAAGCCAATTAACATTTCTATTACCTCAACAACTTAACATTTTTTTGCAGTAAGACTACTAAACATCTATTCTTTGAGAAATATTGAAATATACCATATATTAGGATTGTGGTCACCATGCAATGCAATAATTAATAAAATTTATTTAATTACTAAAATTTATAAAATGTCAACTATGCACTGATATCAAATCCATTACCTAAATAAGAAGTACTAGAAAATTTTTGGAGTATAAGAATGTTTTAAAAATGCATAAGTGAAAGAAAAAAGGAATTTCCAATTTTTCTCTTTCCCTAACACTACTACAGAACAAAAGATATATAAAAGTTTAAATTTTATGTCTATGCCTTTGTCACACAGGAAGTAGGGAAGCTTATAAGAAAGCAAAAGTTTATAAAATAGATTATATACCTATGAGCCTCAGATTTGAC